AGAGGGAGAGGGAGGGAGGGAGGGAAGGAGGGAGGGAGGATTAGAGGGAGCGAGGATGAGAGGGAGGGAGAATGAGAGGGAGGGAGAATGAGAGGGAGGGAGAATGAGAGTGAGGGAGAATGAGAGAGAGGGAGGGAGGAAGGGAGAAAGAACCTGTTTATTCCATAGTTTGAATTATTATATTTTAGTTTGACCACGAGCCCACAGTAGGAATGACGTGGTCAACAGAGTCTACGAGCTCACCCTGCTGACTCAGCGTAGACAGACCATGATGTGAATCTTGGTCGAAGGGGAGACCAGGGAGGGTCTCTCTACGCTAAGTCAGCAGGGTGAGCTCTAAAAGAATTTCCAAAAAAAATTGGATGATCGGCAGCAATGGCCGGCAAACGATCGAGGTACTCTACGGAAGGAATTTCCCCAAAAAAACAGAGGAGTTCACTGAAGATGTGAATCTTGCACCTCACACATAGCATCTGAAAGGGGGGAGGCAAGAGGTGGTGGTTGAACCGGAAGTAACCTAGGAAAGCTGGAAGTAACAGTTCCCCCAACCTACTAGCAATCAAAAGAAGAACCAAGTCACCGACGAGTCGGTGTATAGCGGCAGGACCTTTGCGAGATTGTAGGGCCGAAGGGCCGGCCAATGTTGTCGTCTTTCAAGACGATGACTGGCCGTATAAGAGGCCACTAAAGAGGAAAGCCAGCCTAGGAAGGCTTGCTTTTCGGTGATCAAGGTCAACTTGTCAAGGGTAAAAATCCAAGGGTTGCAACTTCCTAAGGGTATGGCCCCAAAGGTGCTATGTTCATGCCCGGAAGGCATGGACCTTGCCATCAAACTGGTCAAATTAGTGCTCACATAGCATATAAAGAGCACCAGTCACCAGTCGGGCCCGCCCCCAAGTCATTTGTGATGGGGAGAAGCATAGCAGAAAAGGCAATGGGCTAGTGGCACTGGGATGAAAGGTGTGCAAAGGCACCCAAGGGACCCTTGAAGTAGGTACCAAGGGACTCTTGACCATCCTCTCAGGGGTTTCAAGAAGGGAAGAGGGCAAGATTGGCCCCACATTATGCACACAAGAAGACGTACGATGCCACTGTCGAACCACCTCCACACCGAGGGTACCCACCCAATCACATCTGCAGTCAACAGCTGGAAACTGATATGGCAGTTGTTTGGCAGTGGCGTAAGTTTGACGGCGTTCTGTTATCAAGAAGGGCAAAACACTCCTCTGCAAAGTCGGCATCAACTGTATTCATTTGAGGCTACAAACAGGGCTGCATACCTGGCCGAAAGCCGACCGTATTGCAGCCGACCAGTAGTGCCGACCGGTAAGCGTCAGAAAACAACCTGTCTCTTATACACATCTAGATGTGTATAAGAGACAGGGGGGGGGGGGGGGGGGGAAAGAGAGTTTTCATCTGATTGAACATTGAAGTGTGTGTATCATTCATTGCGCATATGCCTCGTTTTACAAACCGAGCACTCTGCTGTCAAGCAGCAGCAAATGCATCGGCCCTTCTTTCCGTCCACATACATGCGCATCCACACAGAGAAGGTGACAACCAGACAGGCGGGTAAATCTTGGCCATCCATTCGTCACTCGTACCTCGTCTTCTCCAAGTATGTTCAACATCATGGCACACGGCAACCTCATGGAGGTATCGCCAAGTGGCAGCCCCAAGACAGCGCGCAGATGTTGCTCAAACTGAGACGTAATGCAGCCTTCGATTGTGTAGTGCCCGCTGTTATGTGGTCGTGGCGCAACTTCATTCAGTAAAACCTAAGCAAAATTGAGCAAAAGGAAAAGGAAAAAAAACGGCAATGCGCCAGCCAGGACAGGAAAAGTCCATCAAAATGACAAAACCGTTAACCAATAGCCTGGCTCGTGTGCAGTTGTATTACTCGAATCTTTTCCTCATCTGGCTCACAAGCCACTCTGCAGTCGCGTCAAACAAACAAACATTCCTCTGGTACCGCCCACCCCACTCACTGTGCGGTCATGTCAAACAAACAAACAAACATTCCTCTGCTATTGTTAGCTGCGTAGCATCGTGTTCATGTTCGGAGGCGAACGCGAACATGTTCACGGACGAAAGAACCATCTTCACCATGATTCCCGCCCGGCCTTTTCGGTGTTCTTGCCACATTATCTTTCAGGATATCTTCATCATAACCTGTCAGAAATCGACGCAAGATCTTCTGCACTCAAAATTTCAAATGCATTGCATCGATGTCGTCAATACGGTTAAAAAACACACTGAAAAAAGTGTACGCAAGAGTGATCATCGGAGGTTTTGGAAATACGCGTTGCATCTCTGGCAGAAGTGGGCAACTGGGATCGAAGCATCGATATCATGACAATGATCATCCCATCAATCCTAAAAATGCCTCCCAAGCAGGGCTGGTCCCCGGTTGGACCGGGGGGAGCTCCCCCGACCGGGCTGTAGATATGGCTTTGCTGAAGTTATATGCTTCTGCGACGTCCCTACACTCTGGAAAAGGAGTTACGGGTTTGGGTTTCAGCTCGTGCAGTCAGAGTAACAATGCTGTCCGAGGTGCAAGCCGAAGAACGGACCTCGCTCCACTACATGTATCTGGAGTCTGGACAGACTGCCAGGAAAAATACTTTCGGACCGAAGACCCACCATATGTAAAGAAAACAAAAAAGAAAAAAAAACACAAAACGCTCTGCCTGCAGGAGCTGAGACCTGAACCCATATTTTCGCTTTCAAGCTATACACTCGAAGAGCTATAAGTTTTGGCAAGGACCTCCCAGCATATCGCGTTCAGCATCTGGAGTACTGATATGTGGTGGCATACACCATAATACCCTATTATTTGTGCTCAACTGCAATTTTCGGGCCACAGAGGGGTTAGATAAGTAAGCTTGATTACTCGACCTCTCCCCCTGAAAGCCATATACCTGATCATCCCAGTAATACCCCAACCCCCCCAAGAAATCCCCAAAAAAAAAATTGCACCTTCGAAATTTTATAGCGGATTTCAACGGATCTCAGAGAGCGCAGTCCGACTCCGCCAAGTTATATATATCGTCAAATAGAACTGCCCGGTAAACCGTAGGCAGAGAGGGAGAAGAGGACAACAAACGAGGGGCTGTGACAAACTGTTTCGTTGGAGTTTCACCGACTCATCAGGAGGCTGAACCCTCAACAGTCTGCAGAATCCC